CTACAGCTCGATCACATACAATCGTGAAGAATTAAGGATTTGAAGTTCCCCCCCCCACCCACCACACACACACACAAAACATATCGCCTATTGGGTTTCTCTATTGTCCCTTCGCATCGCTTTGTGGCTTCGCAGCAAACGCCTTGACATTCTTTGCTGTATTATTGTTCTTGCACAGACAGTCGGTGTCGCGCTCACTCTTATCGATTTGCATCAGCGGAAGCCCAACCTTTTTTTTTCCTTTGCAACACGTATATCGTTTCTTTTTTCACTTTCTTTTTAATTGTTGTCCTGCAGCCATGAGCTACCCCTCGAACTTCCGCGCGTGGCTGGCGAAGATCATCAGCTTCGACACGACGAGCCGCAACTCGAACCTGCCGATGGTGGAGTACATCCGCGACTACCTGCAGTCGGTGGGTGTTGCGTCGACGTTCCTGTACAACCCGGAAAAGACGCACGCGAACCTGTGGGCGACGCTGCCCGGCGAGGGCGGGGTCACGCAGGGCGGCATCGTGCTGTCGGGCCACACGGACGTGGTGCCGGTGGACGGCCAGAAGTGGGACTCAGATCCTTTTGTGATGGTGGAGAAGGACGGCAAGCTGTTTGGTCGCGGTGCGTGCGACATGAAGGGCTTTATCGCGGTGGCGCTGGCGCTGACGCCGCAGTTCCTGTCGATGAAGCGCGCGAAGCCGGTACACTACGCCTTCTCGTTTGACGAGGAGGTGGGCTGCACGGGCGTGCCCTACCTCGTGAACTACCTGAAGGAGCGCGGCTTCAAGGCGGATGCGTGCATCGTCGGGGAGCCGACGGACATGCGGGTGTACGTGAGTGCGAAAGGTTTCACGCAGTGGAACGTTTCCGTGCACGGCAAGGCGATCCACTCCTCCATGGCACTGATGAACACGAGCTGCAACGCCATCGAGTACGCCGCGCAGATCATCACGAAGGTCCGTGAGATCGCGCTGGATATCAAGAAGAACGGGAGGCAAGACCCGGGCCACGATTGCCCTTTCGCACCCATGACCACCGCGTTGGTGAGTGGCGGCAACGCGGTCAACACGGTACCGGCGGAGTGCAGCTTCATCATTACGGTGCGCATCACAGACAAGGAAACGCCGAAGGAGATTGAAGATCGCATGTCCAGGTATGTCGCAGAGAACATTCTGCCTGCGATGCGTGAGGAGTACCCGGAGGCGACCGTCGACATCAAAAACGCGGTCTCGCTGCTACCCTTCAATGGCAAAGAAGATTCGAAGTTGACGAAGCAGGCGCTGAAGCTCTGCAAGCACACGAAAACGTACAAGACGGGTGGCGCCAACGAGGGCGGGTACTTCCAAGATGTGTTGGGTATTCCAACGGTGGTGGTCGGTCCTGGTCCCGGTGCGATGGCGCACTTGGCGAACGAGTACGTGCTGGTAGACCAGATGGAGAAGAGCACTGCCTTTACGATGGACATGGTGAAGCTGTACACGGACCCGACGTACTGCAGCGCTGGCAACTTGTAGCCTTCGTCGTTCATTTCCACCGCAAAGCTGTCGCGTTCGGTTTCGTCTCTTTTTACTTATTTATTCAATATATATATTTTGTTTTATGAGCATTTCTTCGTGTGCGCCAAACGAAAACTGCGGAACGATCTGGCAGTTTTCTTGAAGTACTAAAGCGAAAACCGAACTATCCGCGAGTGCACCCCACGAAGTAACGCACCTCCATATCGGTTATTATTATTATTAAGCTCCATTCCTTACAGACTACCACTATGGTTGTCTTTATTATTCTTTCAGTGTTGTGCATCTCTCGAAAGACCTCTTTTTTCTGTTCCCCCGTTTTACATTCAATGTTGAGTTTTGACGGTTCTAATTGAGAAACATAGATTTTTGATTCACAGTCTGTTCTTTGTTGTTGTGTCTGCCACACAACGGAGAAGGAAGGAGATTGTGAAAAGGACCTTCATTTTTGTGTTCTGTGAAGACGACTTCTTTGGTGTGTCGGTGTGAAGCGAGTGTCGTTTCAATGGATCCTCTCTCCCGTTTTGTTTATGCTTTTGCCCTTCCACTCCGCAAGTTTTTCTCTGTGGCCAGCAAACACAGAAACGCGAGTTTGCATCTGCCGCTGCTGCTTTGCAGTTCTATCCGTTCATCTCCTCTCACGTTGCCGTTGTTGTTCTTGTTTTTTGCTGTCACTTGTTTCATTTGTCTGCGTCAACCCCTCCACTCAAACCTCTTGCCACGCATGCTACGCAACGAACACCGTATTCATAGTTCACCTTCCAATAAAGGTGAAAATATTTTTTATTGCCGGTCTGCATTACTGTTATTATTGTTATCTGTACCATTTTTTTCTTTGTTGTAGATGTCCGCCGGGCACGGCGACGGAGGTGCTTTTGGTCCGGCCGAGGACGACGCGTACAACAGCTACTACGCCCCCGTGAATGGACCAAACGCTCGACCTACGGTCTCGCATTCGCCTCCCGCAGCGTCACCACCCTCGACGCCCGCTGACTCCACACGTGTGCGACCTTCCACATCGGTTCCTTCGACACTACTGAGTAGGGGCGTCGCGCTCGTTGAGGTTCACAGCCCGCCGCCTCGGTTGCCCTCACCTGAAGCGACGCAGGCGTCTACTTCGGATGGTCCTCCCAGTCAAAACGAAACAACAGCGCACACAGAAGAAGAGGACACGGCCCAGGTGGAGGCAGCGGTGTCTTCCACGACGTGGTGCAGTCCTGTCCAGGTGCTGCCCAACAGAATCACGCGAACCGGTCTGACAAGAAGGGCGAGTGCAGGGTGGCCGTCATCACCGATCGTACTCACCTCCACCACCACCACACTACACGCAACGCAGCAGCAGCAGCAACGGGAACAGCATGGACCGCCGACCTTCTCTACCGGCACTGCCGGTGCTCGTCCAGCAAGCATTTCCCATAGTCACCCCTTCGTGGGACAGGAAAGTGAAGCTACCGAAAAACACATCATGCAGCGGTCCTCACGAACAGCAGCAGCAGCAGCAGCCCACGAGCCTTCTGTCGAGGCACTGAACTCGGGGGAGCGACGCAGCGTTACGGTGACGCAGCACCCGCTCGACCCCGTCAGTTACGACGACGAGGCGAAGGCAGCTGACATCAGCAGCGCAGCACACAACCATCGAACACGCCTCTTCGCCCCTGATTTCGACTCTCCGGGTCAGACCGCGGCCGAAGAGATGAGGGAGTGGCGATCAGGCGAGGAGCGCCGCACACGGCTGCCTGCAATAGTGGAGATGCACTCGGAGTCTTCGTCCTCCGCAGCCGTGACACCTCCGGCGACGGCGGCCTCCGCCTCAGTTGTGTTGTCTGTTGGCGAGGACACGAACATATCGCATCCAATGCTCGTCGGTTCCAGCACGACAGTGGACAGCGCCACGACTGACTCGTCGGTGAAGAACGAGTTCGGCGTGGTGAGCGTGCACGGGGAGGAGACGTCGGTGCTGCCCACGCCCTACCCCGTCACCTCCACCAGCAGCCTTGCCGACTGGTCCTCCGCCCCGCGACTGGGCTTTGCTCCACCGGCGAGCCCCAATGCTGCCAGCGCGGAAGCCGCGTCGCTGCCCCGGCGCGACGCCGACGAACGGAAGCGCGAGGACCGGTGGTACCGCCTCTGCCGCGGCGTCTCCCTCCTCGCTAGCGCGTCGCCAGAGGCCATTGTGCGGCTACGCAGCGCAGCTCGCGAGTACGGCATCCCGCACCACTTACGTGGCGTGATGTGGCTGACACTGACCGGGATGGCACTGAAGGTGGACGAGAACGAGTACTTCTGTGCCACGCTGCTGCGCCGCAACGGGTACGTGACGGGCCCGAACGCGGAGGCGATTGCAGCGGACGTGCAGCGCACCTTCCCCGGTCACCCGTACTTCTCCGAGCGCGACGTCGGTATCTACAAGCTGACAAACGTGCTGCACGCGCTGTGCTGGCGCAACCCGCTCCTCAGCTACTGCCAGTCCTTTAATTTTCTAGCCGCTTTTCTGTTGCTCGTCCTCGACGACGAGGAGCGCGTGTTTTGGCTGCTCGTGCACATTACGGAGCAGCTGCTGCCGAACGACTTCTACGGTGAGACGCTGCTCGGGGCGAACGTGGAGCAGGCGGTACTGGAGAGCCTCGTGCAGCGAAGACTTCCCCTTGTGGCCGCGAAATTCAGCGCGGCGGGTCTGCAGGTGCACACGCTGGTGGCGAACTGGATGATGTCGCTCTTTGTGAACAGCTTTCCGCCCGCCACGTCGCTGCGCCTGTGGGACTACCTGTTCTGCCGCACGGCCAATCCCGGTGAGCGCACCCCGGCCCACCTAGAGATCACCCTCGCCGTTCTGCAGTATTTGGACAAGAGGAATTTTCTGGCCGGCGAGGACGCGGGAGAGCTGCTCGTCGCGCTGCGGGAGCAGACGGCGTGCTTGTACGACGCAGCGGCAGTGATTCGAATAGCAAACACGTTTGCCATTACACCGGACGAACTTCACCAACTTCGGCGCGAGGCGAAGCCAACGGTGGTGCAGAACCTGAAGGCGCGTGAGCGGGCTCGCGCCAGTGAGCAGGAGCGGCGACTGGCGCAGGACCTCCGGCTTAGACGGCACGCCAACTCATCCGGATCTGGTGCGTAAAGAGGGAAGAAGGCGGCAGGGAGTCTCTTCTTCGTGCTCAGCCGAATCTCCCAGGCGACCACAGAAATGAAGAAAGAAAAAAAAACACTTGACCACTTGCAGGTCGCAGCACCTCTGTGAAAGAAAAAACCCCTGCGCGCCCTTGGGTGCTCTGGTGCCTCAACACCGCCTTCTCAGTTCCCCCTTTTGTAGGTGTTAAATGGCATTTACTTCCCTAAGAGGCAGCTGTCACACGAACGCACTGTACTGACGGGTATTAAAAAGCGCTATCCTCCTTCGCGCATGCAGATCGCAACGTTCTCTTTTTGTCTAAACGCTTCTCTGTAACTCTACTTGCCTTCACCCGGAACGTTGGCCCTCGAGTAAACGGCATATGCATCCGCAGAAACTCACAAGCACATTAATTACCCACTTGATTCATATATATATATATAGAGAGAGAGAGAGAGAGAGAGAGAGGAAACAAGAACGATAATAATAACATCAATAGAAGTCCGCTGACCTCACGATGACTGGACGGCGCGGCGTGGGGCGACCACCCGCCAAGAAAACGGCTGCGGCTGCTACCGCTGTTAAGAGCACCACGAAATTAAGCGTCCCACACGCCGACTCGCTTCCGTCTCTCACCCGATCCGGGCAACGACGTGGACACCTCAACACCGGCGCCGCAGAGGGGACGAGGGAGACAAGAGCGGAGGTGGAGGAGGAGGAGGTGACACTGGTGTACCGCAAGCCCAGCACACGAAGCACACGTCCGCAGAGGGAAGCTGCTGGGGCTTTGCGTGACGACGCCGTCAGGGACGCTGCATCGCACGGAGCCGTTGCCTCCTTTGCACCCTCCTACTCCTCCTCTACTTCCTCGCCGGAGACGAGCACCCTCGCATTTATGCAACGTGCCACCGGGCAGGTGAACCTCGCCCGCTACCTCGCTCACTGCGGTGTGGAGGATGTACAGCTGCGCAGTGAGAGTGGAGAGGCGGTGTACGCGGTGACACAGGATCAGGTCTTTCACTGCAGCAACGATCGTCTCGAGACGGCCTTCCAGGCGCTGCGGAACATCGAGTCACTACTCCTTACGCCGGCGGACACCAGCTCGGCATCAGGCACGCCGTGGGTGGGACACGTCTGCTGGGTGAGGCCTGCGCATCAGCAGGCGATGGTGGCTCTGGCGCGTGTGTGCGAGGCTGCGGTGCCGCTGCAGCTCCCATCGCTCGTGGACGCCTCTGTTTTAGCGATTATGGACGGAAAGGAGAGAAGCCGGATGACGTGGAGGTTGTCGTTAGCGTTGGCAGAGGGACGGAGAACGCATCGTTCCTCTAGGATCTCGAATGATGCGTCCGATAGCGCGGGCAGCGTTGTCGCCGAGAAATCAGGCGCAGCGGGCACAGTAGCGGCATTGTTCGCTGCGTCGTCGCAGCAGCCTACCTCCACCAGCGCTGCCGCCACAAATGTTGAGCTCGTTCCGTCCCCTGTTCGCCTCTCTGACGTGCACCGGCGTCTGCGCCTGCTGCGACGTCTCCGTCAGCTGCGCAACGCCTACGGAACTCTACTTCCGCGTCTGCACAGCGCAGGCACGAATACGGAGTTGTGTCGATGCCTCTTTTCTCACGACGCAGACACCTGCCAGACACTGCGCCGGCTGCGCGAGCTGTGGATGTCCGCAGGCGCCTCAACTGCGTTGCCGGAGCTCAGCGATCCCTTTCCGATGTCGATACCACGTACGCGAGGCGGGGCGGCGGCTGGAATCTCTTCGCGTGCGAAAGCCCTGTACGATGTCCTCTCCTCCTTCCTCGGCAACCCATTGCTCCTCGACACGCTGCTGCCCTTTGTTGGCATCTCCGCACGGCACCCACACGAAGAGGCCCTCCTGCAGCACCTCGTGGCACAGTTGAAGGAGGACACGGCGGTGGACGCGGCGACATGGGGACCGATGGCGGCCATGGCATCGTGGCGGTGCACCGACGGCTTCTACGTGGTGCAGCACGCCGCTCGCGTGCGGGCGCTGCGCCGGGTGTTGGCCGCCGCGCAGTTCTACGGCCTTCCGCGCTTTTTGCGGTCTATCCGTGCGACTGCATCGATGGCCGCTGCTGGAACAGCTGCCGCAACCTCAGTGCTTTCCGGCGGGGAGAGCAGCAACTGGATGAAGCCGACGACTCTGCTTCGTGCGCAGGCCCGTGAGGCTGATCAGTTCTTCCTCACGCCGGACCTGCTGGACCCGGCGTCCTTCACGCAGCCCGACTCGATGCAGGTGCAGTTGGTGCAGGAAGAGTTGATCACTCTGCAGCGCGCGCACGGTGCTTTTTGTCTCGTCGTGGGCGAAGCAGATGAGATCGTGACGTTGGTGCACGACCACCTCGCCTTCGCCGGGCGTAGGTGGCAGCACGTCGTCAAGAAGCACGAGGAGGAGGGCGGCGTGGTGAAGACGGAGCGTCCCGCCGAGGACGACGACGAGGAAGGCGACGGCATCCACGCCCGTGCAAATGCGCCATCGTCGTCCTTCACCGCCAGAGAGACGCAGGCACGATCCAGTCCGCGCGACCCTCTGTACGGCTACGTCTTGCGCACGGTGGACGCCGCGCACCGCCACGCACTGGAGAAGGCACAGCCACCGCACCAATCCGCCTCTTCAGCCACGGCTGTGACGCACGCCGTTCCCCTCCCCTTTAGTCACGTGCAGTGGGTGGAAGGCGGCAGCACGAACCAGTGGTCGCCCAGCACACACTACTATGGTCTGGTGTACATGGTGGTACTCGAGACCGATGAGCAGGAGACGGAGGAGGGGTCGCTGGTGACTGAGGGACTGCTGCCGGAGACGGCGATTTCGATCACGGAAGGGGACGGCGCGGCGACGCTGCGGCCGCCGCGGTCGCCGACGTATTGCCTGAACGCAATGCTCGAGCTGTGGCGCAGCTAGGGCGGTGTTGCTACTTCCCACCAGGTGCGAATACAGCGATCATAAAGGCGCAACAACAAGGAGGAATACGTTGGGACGCCCGCTGCTAGAGTTCATTACTGGGTAGTTGAAGTGCACCTATCTAGGGGAGTGTGCAGCTCAAGAAGACAATAAATGACGTTTTGTGTAAAACGTTGGATCGTGCCTGCGTTTGACGCGGCAATTGCAGTCCAAAAGATGCTCCTGTGCATTTAATGAAACACACTTTTTCTTATCGTTGTTGGTTTGCCACTGTTGATATGTTTGTCATGCGTGTGGTTTTTTTTGTGTTTCTCTCTACTTCCTCCCCCCGTAGCTAATGTGAGCACGTTGCTTAAATGTGTATTTACCTCCTCGCACTCACCCATCCTGAACTACTGACGGCTTCTTCCCGCCGTACTTTCATTGCTCCTCTGGTTCTCTACTTCGGTTCCTCGTTTCTGAATGCCCTCCTCCCTCAGCTAGAGAGGTGACCGTTGTGTACCACATCAACGTACACAAGCGCTCTGCCACGAGAATTAGTTATTAAAAAAGCGGAGGGGAGAGAATATACAAGCCTCCGCAGGAAAAGTCTCCCACCGTCAACTCAAAAATGCAGCGCACCTCCCTCCTGATGGGCGGGTACATGATGTACCACCGCAAGGCCATGGGGACGATGCGGTACAGCAAGTGGAAGGGCGCGCGTGGCGGTGTCGGCCACTTCTACAACCGCACCGCCATGATCGAGGAGGCGCCCACCAACGTGCCGGTGTCTCTCGTGGATCGTCGCATGATGAACTACGTCCACCGCTCCCGCCTGCGCCACTTCCAGCTCTTTCGCTCCTACCAGCAGAAGTCGAACTCCACGGAGTGTAAGCTGCGCGAAGGCGAGATGCTGCGGCGACGGTGGCACCGCAAGCTACAGAAATCGTTTATTGCGTTTATGCAGTTTAAGACAATGAAAGTGCTGGAGGAGCAGGCAAAGCTGGTCTCGCAGTACGGGCAGGCTTCGGTGAACGCTGCCCTCGGCGACCCGTACGAGGCGACGACGAATGCAGCGCGGGAGCGCAAGTACGTGGCGCTGCGCAGACGTGTGCAGACACTTCCTTCCATCCAGGTGGTGCCGAAGCACGTGGCGACGATGAAGCAGATACACAACGACCGCTTCAACTTCCGCTGGCGTGTTAACTGAATTGCGGCTGTCTGCCGTTGTTTGTTGTTGTCGTTTTTGAGATCGTGGCGTAGATGTAGGCTCGCGTATGAAAAGCTGTCGGCTCTCTTCTTAGGTAGCCGTGATGTCCTCAGCACGGAGGCCCTTTGCTATGGGAAGGCAAAGGGGAAGGAGAAAAAATTCAACGCGAACTGAAATGCGTCCTCTGCCTTCTTCTGTTTTTCACACTACCGTTTCGCTTGCGTTGCGCATGGATTTTTTCCTTTTACTCCGTTCCCTTCTTTCTGTTGCTCATCCCACTCGCTGTTGTGCGTGGTGTTGTGGTCGGCAATCACCTCCGTTGATGCTTCATTTTTTCTCTCTTTTGCTCTTTTCGTGTCGACGATTGGATCGGTGGATTTGCTGCCTTCACGACAGAGGCTGCTGAGATGCGGTGTTGGCCCGGCTCACATCACAATTAAAAATGAAATGCTGTGAAGCATTCACTTTCAGACGTCACGACCTCAACTGCGAGACACGCATGTGGTGACAGCAGTCCCCGGCATTCCAGGCGACAGAGGTATTCGCACCCATCTCAAAGCGCATTCACGCTCGATTTCCAAAGGTGCCTCGTGCTGGAGCGATGCGTGAAGCGGTGTCTCTCGAGTCACCGGAAGAGACTTTGGGGCGTCGGTTATAATGCGCGTCTTCAAACAACACCACCCAACACCAACAGCAAGAGCAAACCGTCAAGGCGCTATCCTTGTGTCCCTGCGCTGTTTCATACCGCTGTCTGTTTACCTTTACAGGACGTGGTACGTCTGCTCGAGAGGCCCAACTCGTTCTATCGCTACGTCGCTCCCACGCCTCTTTCGCTTCATGGCCAGCAACAGCAGCAACAGAAAATAAAGAAGCTGCCTCTTCGCCGTTTCACCGTTTTCTCTCGTGCACACCTTTTCCTTTCGTTGCTTTCTTCGTGACCGTACCACCACCACCACCTCCAAAAAGGAAGGAAGGAAAGAAGAACGTCGCGGTGCACAACGTATGGTAAAGGGTACGTCTCACCGCCACGCACCGTTAGAGCACAGGAAACACAAAGGAAACTGAAGCCACCGGCGAAAAAGAACAGAGGAGGATTGTTTGTTGTGTTGAGCTCACGCGTGACACTCAAAGCAATACGTGCCCGCCGCACCTGCTCTGGAATATCCGCAGTTTTCTATTGTTCTTTCTCTCGTGAGGTTTAGTCATTCACTGCACACCGGATTTCTTTCTTTTCTCTCCGTCTTCGTCGTATCAGATGACGGCTATGGCAGACGACGAGGTGCTCCCGATGCGGGCCGCGTTACGGGCAAAGGACGTCGTCGCGGCAGGGCAGGTGGAGAACGTGCTGCAGTTGCCGTCTCCGGTGTACACGGCGGAGTTCACCGACGCGCATCACGTTCTTATCGGCGCCGGCGGCGGGGGCAAAAAGTTTGGCATGGCGAACGTTGCGTTGCTGCTGCGTGTTGCGTCACTGCGTGGTGCATCATCGTCGTCGTCGTCACCATCGACCTCCTCCGCTGCTTCCATCGTGAAAAGCGGCGTAGAGACGGCTGCGGCAGCCTCGCCCTCCTCAGCGGCGCCATCCGAGCCACCCGTGTGGGGATTTGCGGCTGCGATTGACTTGGGCGAGGACATCCCCTGGTGTACCTCCGCGTTCTTGCCCTTTAACATAAACGGAACACCTCCAGGAGGCTCTGTCAGCGACCCCGCTGCTCTCCGCTGGTCGGACCAGCAGCGGGTGGTGCTGCAGGGACTCGTAGGCTTTATCGCACTCAGCAGCATCACCGCCTTTACGCTCATTGGTGTGTACCGCGGAACAGAGCCGACATCAAGTTCCGCGATGTCGTCGTCGGAGGAGGAGGAAGCGGGGGCGGATGCCTCTGCACCAGCGCCTCCGACTCACCAGGCGAAGGACAAGAGCGATTGTGCGGAGCCGCAACGGCGTTATCTTCGCCAGCTGGCGCGCATCACCGTGCCCCACGACGCAAAGGACCCCGATAAGAAGCCGATCGCGCTCTCGCAGAACGTGCTTCTCGTCGCACACGACGCCAACGGCGTGCTCGGTTACGCCCTCACCGATTTGGTGCCGCATAGCTTCGAGGACAACCACAGCGAGGCGTATGAACGCACGTACGCGTCCCAGGTGAAGGCTAGCGGTGGAGCCCTGCAGCGCCGCGTGCCGCATACCGTGACGACGGCAGCGCCTGTGGTGGAGTGGCCGCTGCCAGCACGCGTCAACGACTTGTCGGTGAACCGGGTATGCATCGTGCAAGCCGCGCGCTCAGATGAGACCGGTCCGTCCGCGGTGCGGCCCTGCAAAGCGCACTTGCAGGAGCATCTCATCTTGGCTGCCGTGCTGCAGGACAAGACCGTTGTGCTGAGTACGCTGCGCCTACGACAGAAATACGTGCGCACGACGAGAGACGCAGTGGCGCCTGTGTCAGTGGTGACGGCCCTTACGCTAACGGGGGCGGAGCTGCCTCTTCCGTTTAAGCTTCTCACCTCCTCCCTACGCCTCGTGCGCCTCTACGGATGGAACAACATCGCAGCGGGGCAGCAGGCGGAGATGCGCCGGCAGCTCACGTGGCAGTCGCTGCAAGAGCACGGCGCCCCCACGCACGGCCCCCTGTGCAGCTTGCTGCTCGTCGCTTTCAACACCCACACCAGCGAGTCTTTCCTCCTCCACGGAGCCGTGGACGTCACCCCGCTGCCCTCCGCCTCCCACGAAAACCGCAGCGCACTTACGCTGCAGCTCCGCTGGGTGCAACCGCAGCCCACACCGGTACTGGGCGATGCCATCACCTCCTTGTCCACGTGCGCCGACCGGGTGCCGGCGGACGACGAGGCACGCATCCAACGCAGTCCGGTCGGAGCGGCGGTGCCGACGCACTTCATCGTTGGCACCGTCGAAGGTTGGGTGGCGTCGGTCCGCTGGATCGCCGCCGAGGGCCGTTGGCGCAGTGACCACGTCCGTCCCTCCCCCCTCAAGTCTGTCGCGAAGCGGTTCCCTGCACTTCACAAAGAGCCGGTGTCGTGTGTGGCGGTGTCGGCGGAGAACGACGTCGTGAGCGCGGACATCGCACAGAACGTTGCCTTGACGACCCTCCCGTACGCCCTTCGCCCTTCACCCACTCCCGCCTCTTCATCTCAAAAAGGCTCCGCTCCGGGCTCGGCGCGTGGCACACGCAGTCGCGGGGCGGACTCTGACGACGCGCTGTACGTTGTGCAGCCGCGCCTGGCGACGTCCGCGACGCTGTTTCCGCCGTCGACGCCCGTGACGGGTCTGTTGAGCTGGGTGATGCGCAACACCGCAGGTGAGTTGATGCCGGCGCGCGCGCTCATCTTCCTCACGGTGCCGGTACTGCTGCTACTGGTAGCACTCATCATCATGATGCGTTAAGAGTACTGTCGTTGTTGGGGGGATGTTTCCCGGAGGAGCACAGGCGAAGTTGAAAGGGGGAAGGGGAGAGGTGCGAGAGCGGCAGGGGTGAAGAGTAGAGGGTGGAGGTCGTTTTGGCGGCTCAGTTGGGATGGGGCGAGACCGGTGGTTGTCGGAGACGGACTCGTGGGCTCTCTCTGTCATCGATATCTCCTCGACTGTTCTTCTCTTCCTCTGCTGAGATGCAGGGTGATTGACTGCCCCGGAAAGAAATGGAGCGAAGGGAAGGAAAGCAGTACCGTCCATCACACGAATACGCGTATTTGCAACAGCATTCGCCAAAAAAGAAAGAAAAACACCCTTAGTGAAGTGGATTGTTTGGGCGGGGGGGGGGGGTTCTACGCGACTTCGCATGAGTGTCTGCGATTTTTTTTCATTGTCACGGATGTTTAAGCCAAAGGGCGCCTCCCATTTGGAATTATTCAAACGACCACTTACTAATATTATTATTATTATTATTATTATTATTATTATTTACCGCTGCGTGAAATACAGGCCTGCAGTGGTGAGACAGGGATGACCGCACCACACATCTCGGTCTCCTCATACTTCAAGTGCTCCTCTTCCTTTCAACTTTCCCTTTTTCTTTCTCATTTGTGGGTGTGCATCGCATCTGCGTAACCCCTACCACTCCTTGCGCACACACGCGCTACACCCAACGGCACGAGATAGTAATCAAATCCATCTCTTCCCCCCCCCCCCTCCCTGCACATCCCCGCAGTCCCCTTTTCTTTTGTTTTGTTCTCTTCTTGGAACTCATTTGACGGTTCCCGCCCCCGCTCCCCACTCCTCTCTTTCTATCAGCTTTATTATTACTATTATTTCCTCTGTCAGCGGTATTGCGTACTCTCTGTCGCACAAGCGCTCCCTTCACCACCCACAACGTACCGGAAAAAACTAAAAGCGAGCCAGCCTGTTTCAACGATGGTTACCGCACAGAACTACCGCATCAGCGAGATTAGCCGCTTCCTCATCCTCATTGGAGGTATGACGGCGAGCGTCTGCATCTCCACCTTCTACGGTTTCAACATTCTGAGCAACAAGATGGTGGAGCTGTTCAACTTCAGCGGAGCCGACCTCACCACGATCTCCACTGTGGGAGTGGTTGTCGGCTTCGCAACCTTCCCAGGCGGTATGCTGCTCGACTACGCGGGGCCGCTCCCGGTGCTGGTGTGCGGGACCGTGCTGAACATGGTAGGCGTCATTCTTTACGGCCTCGCCTTTGAGGGCATCATCACCGGATCTGTGGTGAAGTTTTCCGTCTTCAGCGCCATCATGAACCTCGGCTGTGCTTCATTCGACACCGGTTCGCTGATGGCCATTCTGGGTAGCTTCCCGCTGACCAAGGGACCTGTGGTGGCCTTGATGAAGACCTTTGCCGGGCTTGGTGCGTTGGTGTTGGCGGTCATCAACTACAGCTTCTTCCGCACGGCCTACTCGCATTATATGTACTTCATGGCCGCTCTCGTCGTATTCATGGGCTCGACCGCGTGCCTCTTCATTCGTTTTCCGCCGTATCACCTCGTGGACCGCGAGCGGAGCCGCGTGCCGGAGCAGATGCAGGTGCGCCGCCGCCTGACGGAGCGGGCGTACCTTACCCAGTACCCGCCGATGGTCCGCTTCTACGTGGGCTTCTTCATCATTGTTTCCCTCGTCATCTATCTGACAGTTCAGTCCTTCTGTGTGGCGTACGCGAACCCCAGCGACAAGGCTCGCATGGGTAACACCATCATGATCATCATCTTTGTCTTCTCCTTCGGTTTGATGGCGGCTCCGTTCCCGTTCCTCGGCGGCATGGAGGAGAAGCCCAGCGAGGATTTCCCTGAATACCCGGAGAACGAACTCCGCAACGACTCGGATGCGTACGAGAACGACAATGAGAAGGCGGTGCTGCGTCCCACGGAGGTCGATGCAACGCAGGACCACAATGCGCTTGGGGAGCTCTACGTCGCTGAGGAGGAGGTCTGTGATGAGGAGAAGGGCGGCAAGGCGAAGAAGTCGGAGACGGAGGACGACCCGCAGAACAAGGCAGTCGTGGAGGATCAGGTCATTCTTGGAGACGAGAACCTCGCACTGATGATGCTTTCCGATCAGGACCCGCAATACCAGACCACCTTCCTGCAAAGCGTCACGAACGTGGACCTGTGGCTGTGCTGGTGGAACACACTCGCAACGTGGGGCTGCGGCATCGTGACGTCTTCCAACTCCGCGCAGATCTACCGCGCACTCGCCGATGATGAGTACGAGACCAAAACAAACACGATGTACTCCGCCATCATCAGTGTGGCGAGTGCGCTTGGCCGCATGAGCATGGGCATCTTTGAGTATGTCTTGAGCCGCTACCCCTCCGAGTCGCGGCCAGTGATGACGTGTGTGTACCCCATCTCCTCCGCCTGCATGGTGCTGGGTCTGATCTTCCTGCTGGCCCTGCCCCTGAAGTCGAAGGCAATCGTGATTGGCTTCTTCTTCGATTCTTCTGGCAACGGCTTCAGCTGGGCCTGCACCGCGCTGACAGTTCGAACTGTTTTTGCCAAGGACAGCGGCAAGCACTACAGCTTTATGTATGTTGGCGCGTTCGCTGGCGTGATTGCGCTGAACCGCTTCGGCTACGGTGAGCTGTACGACCGTGAGGCGAAGCGGCAGCGCGATGCTGCCGTGATGAATGGCACCACCAACATCTACCCCCGCTGTGCCGGCAAGAAGTGCGTGAATTACAGCTTCATTATTCTGCTGTGCGTGAACGCGACGGCGATTGTGGGCAGCACGCTGTTCCACTACCGCTACCGTCGCTTTGTGCTGAAGCACCGCACCGAGAAGGCGGCAGCTCAAGCGAAGAGCAGTAACTCTCCTGTTGAGCCTGTTAACGTGGCTCAGCTGCATTAACCCCTCCGCCGTCCATTGTGGTACTTTTGATAATTGCTTTTCCCAGTAGTGCGTAAAAGTACTGTTACACACTTTACAGCTGTATGAAGAGAGGTATGAAGTGCATGTGTATGTGTGTGTGCATGTGTGTCTCTCTATGTGGGCTTGACTGTTCTACTGTATTCTGTTTCCGCTAATTCCCATATATACATCGTACAGTGCACTCCTCTTTTCTCCTTTGCTGACTTTTTTTTTCTGTTACTCTTCGTATTCGAGCTCCCCCTCCCCTTTTTTTTTTGACTTGTCTTGGATACCTCTCCGTGTGTGTGTTTTTTTTCTTCCCCTGTAGCTCCTGCGATTTCACCGTTTGAAGTGCAACAGGGAGTCGTCGCTGCTGAGTTCTCTCGCTCCATCCTCTCCGCGCCTTCAAGAAAAAAAACTTTTGTGTGTAGGAGGGAGGAGAGAGAGAGAGAAAAGAGAGAGGAGGAGGAGCCGTTGACATCGCAGCACAACTGTACACTCCGCGGTGGACACAGCTGCAGGGAACGAGACAAAAAAGAAAAGCACAGAGAGAGAGAGAGAGAGACGAAAAAAAAAATAACAGTCATTAGCTATTCTTTCATTTTATTTACGTTGTTTGTCTATTATATCAGTTCCATGTTTAATTCATCCCTTGCTTGTTGTTTTGCTTCTCTCTCTCTCTCCCCCCCCCCCTCTTCTTCTTCTCTTCATCCGCCGTGTCCTTTGAGAATCGTCTGTAGGCGGTGAAACTCGCCGTGCTGACGGAAACCCACGCCTGTGTGACAACGTTGCTTATGTTTGTGTTTTTTTTGTTTTTTTTCTGCTATTTCTATCATCGAACTGCGTCTCCGTTTGCGCGCGCGTATCACGAACAGCACTTTTTTTTTCCCCTTTAACACCGTTCACTTCGTGGAGTCGACGGAAAAGGAGAACGCCGCAGCTCGGGATGTTGATCTTGGCAGTGCAAAGTCTTCCGTTTTGCTCTTTCCTTTTTTTGTCTATTGGAAGTGAGCCCAAAGAAAAGCGCGGCAGAAAGCGTAAGGCTCTCTTCCCGTCTTTTGTGTTTTTTCGTTGCGCTCTATGGCGTGTCAGTTGCCACCATATAGAGAGAGTCATTGAACACACTACGGCTGTGCTCCAGCGAGACGGTTTTTTTTTTCGTTTGATGAAAAGCCTGCAGCCGCGGGAGACTTATCGCGAAGCACAAAGCAGACGCAGCCCGTATTTTATGAACTCCTCGCTCTTTCACACATCGTTCCTGTTGGTCTTATTAAGCAAAAACGGCGGGCCCCGGAGCACGAAAAGGTTCACGCGCACGGTCTTTTCGCGTCAGATAGTGATTCCATTTTTTCCTTCTCTCTCTCTCTCTATCAAAGGTGTCTGTTGTGTGTGTTGGCTCCGTTCCGATGGGTGCACACCTGGTTAAAAAAAAAACTACTGGGTCGTGCAGGAGGAAAGCACGCATCCCTTCAAGGTCAACAATGGAAAACATCTTTTCACTCTCTTCTTCTTCTGGCTTTATCAGATTCGTATATGCAGTGGGACCATCGACTTTTATTGCTTTTTTTTTCTCTTCTCTTCTTCTTTGTTTTGTAGTTGCTTTTTTCCTGCGTAACACGCGACGGTGCGCGCGTTAGCAATAACGATAAAAAAAATAATGGTCAACAGGATGGTATGGAAGACTACTACGCGGTGCTGCAACACCGATACTCAGCGCTCACCGATGGTGTTAATGCATCCAGCTTCCATTTTTCTTTAGCATCGTGCTCTATATTCTCATTATTTCCTCTCTAGTGATTCGTTATTGTGGGTTTCTTTCCTCACGAAATAATAATAATAAATCTACGGTGTGTACTAACAGAACACATTATACTTATTTGTTTATATATTTATTTATTTGTTTATTTATTATTATACTTATTAATATATATACTCCGTCTTTCTATGATTGGATTCACTGATGTAGCCTATTCGGTGTGCAGTGATAGGATAATGCTCTTTCTTCTTTTTTTCCTTCCACCGGGTGCGCACGTTGTCGCACCTCCGCAACAATACGTTCGCAGGTTCAAGCAGCAAGTGAAGAGAACACTGCAGGCACTACGTCGCTACTTGGAAGCAACAGGCGTGTCCGGGCTATATATATATATCAGAGGGAAGACCGCAGCGGCATAGAAATGCGCAGAAGTGTTACGATCATTCGTCATTGTATCGCAGTGGTCAGAAGTGTTGGCTCTCGGCTGTCTCGGTTGTTCGTCGGCTTAGCGTGCACTTCATTCGAACCGAGAGTTGCCTATGGTCCGACGTGCATCTCGAACTGGTGTTATTCGCTCCTTCTCTCCACACGATTGCAAAGAATAGGCCTTTAAAAAAGTACGTTGAATGAGAAGGACGCGTGAAAAGCTTTTTCACCTCTCCGGCGATCTTGACTTTCCCTGTTGTTTTAATTCATCATTATTATTGCTATTACTATTTTTCCCTATATAAACATATTTGGATAACGGTATACTGAGCAAGCTGCTTGGGCCACTCTGTTCCCCATTCACTTCTTCTTTTCCAACCTCTGGCAATGGAAAGTTTCAAATGACATTGGTTACAGCGTCCAGTTTATCTGCCGTCAGGATTGTATTAGTTCCTTTCATCATCGTAAGTGGTCCCCCCCCCCCTCCGTCCCCCCTCCTCCTCTCTTTGATTCTTCTGCCTGTGTTTTATGAGCGGTGGAGCAGCCAAAAAAAGCCACCGTGTTTCACTTTTCCAGAGATAGAATCATTCTTCACGTACTCGGTGCTGTTAAGAAGAAGTCGAAAATAGAAAGAGCGGATGATGCGACGCGGTGGCATTTTGCCGCTGTTATTTGCTGATCAATTGCCTTCGTATACGGAGCAAGCGTTTGGGGAAATAATGTGTTAGGTTTAAAGTGGTGAGACTCTCCTGCATTGAAAGAAGTGGTCTTGTCACTATGCGTTTGACATCCATCACGGCAGGTGACCGTCAACCTCTATGTTCCCATCCGCATCTCTTACAGTGTTCGTAAGACGCCTCGCAGCATTAGCTTACACACGTGTGCTTGTATGTGTATGCATGTGTGTGTGTCTGTCGCTCACTTCTCCTCTCTTTTTCCTTCTCCCCACACTCTCCTCTCTCCGCTGCCGGGTCTCTGCCTCCTTGACAGCGTCATCTGAAGTCTTGAAGTAATGCGATGGTGCCCTGAACGACGGACAAAGAACTGAAGAGTGCCAGAATGCGCGCGTTTCGTGGTGTCTGGCAGGGCAACCTTTCAGCATCGCGGTACCGTCCTCGTGTCACGTCCCTTCTCTCCATAGGGTCTTCGGTGTCATAGCCGTCGAAGAGACTGGGGTGTCTGGCTGGCTGAGGGGAGATATGTGTGTGTTTGCGCCTGCGTGACGGCTGAAGCGGAGCTGTTTGAGGAGGTTCAGCTCTCTTTCTGTAGCTTTCTTTTTACCTCCATAGGAACTCTGCGAGACTGCTGCACGGTGTGGATTCCCTACGAGGCGCGTGTTGGTGCTTCAAACGCCGTGGCTTTTCGCACCTGTTTGTTCTCTCTAATTGTGCATGAATCGTGCTGAGTTTTCTCGCCGTTGCAAGAGTGTCTTTCTACACTCAGTAGTCGGTGGTCGCCGCTGCGGTTGTCGTGCTACCACGGTGGTTCGTGTGAGCACTTGCTGGGATGCGCAACCACGAAGATTTCGTGGCTACGATAAACAGAACACAAAAGAAATGAAACAGAACAGCAGAGGTGCGTGATTGTTGCTTCGAGGGGAACATGGGAGGTTTGCCCTCTCTCCACGTGACAAAGACCACCCTATTGTGTACACGCTGCGCCGATGTTTTTTCTTTGTTTTTTACTAGGTGTGCCGCGCAGTCGACTCGTAGACGGTTCGACTCTCCCCGCTAAAGAAAGCAAGTAGCAGGTCCTGCAGAATAGAACGCCCAGTCCCTCTTCATCTTGCCCCTCGCTACCACTCCCACCACTACTATCACTTCGATTCATTCTGTTTGGCAGTGCCATACCGCGCTCAACGTCTTGCACATTTCTTAACCTTACGCACTTCGGTGAGAAGTCTGTTATAAGCATCACCACCCGCTGCCTTCTTGATTAACTCACCGCTTTTGCAAAGTCTTTTCCCCTCTTTTTCTCTTTCTCTCAGGGCGAGATACATTGAACTGCACCTGAGCGGACGAGAAGGAAGGAAAGAAGACAGCAGCAGTGAAAGCACAACGCCAAGCTCGTACACATCCTTTCATTGCATTTCTCCGTCTCTCTTCGTTGCGCCTGTATTTTAAAAAGTAAAACGAAAAGGGTTGCACGAACAATGCCGCTCGTGATCAATGAGCTGTTCCGCTTCCGGATGCTGATGGCAGGTGTGTTCGCTGGCCTCGCCATGAGCTCCACATACGGCTTCAGCATCTTTACTAATCACATGAAGTCGCAATACGGCTTCAACCAAGCGGATATTACCACCATCAGCACCGTGGGTAACTGCTGTGGGTACCTCGTGTTCTTCGCCGGTATCCTGTTCGATTACACCGGTCCGAAGGTTCTCTTTGTCGTTTCGGGATTTTTGGGCTTCCTTGGCTACGTACTCTTTGGTTTGGCTTTTGATGGCAAGATCACGAGCAGCAGCAAGGAGGTGGCGCTGATCCAGTTCTGCATCTTCAACGCTATTCTCTACTTCGGCTGCCCTTCCATGGACGTGGCGACGCTTATGCCGCTCATGGCGAACTTCCCCTTGGAGCGCGGCTACATGATCATCATCGAGAAAACCTTCTCCGGCCTTGGCACCTCCGTATTGATGGCGTACTTCAACGGGTGGTTTGCGAACACGACGGACCCGCTCAAGAGTCACTTCTCCGGCTACGCGTACTTTGTTGGTGCGCAGATTCTCTTGTGCGCGCTGCTCGGCTGCTACTTCATCGATTTGCCTCCGTACATCCCTTGCCAGTACCGCAAGAACCGCCTCACGGAAGAACAGGCTGCGGAG